GATATTCCACAGTTATATTTGAGTTCAAATATTGTTAATATATTGTCACCTAGTGGATAAGTGACACACATATGAACAAAATGTGACAGCTTGCACATTCAGCTGTTAACATTAATGTTGATCAATAACATTTATAGACCTCAGTTAGTGATTCTAAATCTAGCCTATAAATTTAGCAAGTSCTAATCCACTAATAAATGTTAAAATTAGCTAAAGCCCTAAAGCACTAATCAGGAAATTAGTTCCTCTATTAACACCTTGGTGCTTTAGGGGAACTGTGCCCAACGGATTGTAACAATTCAACTACTAAATAGAATAAATAAGTTTGACTCGTCCCAGTAAAAACATTTTAAAAGCTAAGGGAGAAACGGGGCACAGTTTGGTCTTATACTGTGGTAAAAACAGTGCAGCATGCAGGTACTGACTGCATCCATGGGCCAAGTGACAGTAAGGATCCAAGGAAAGGCCAGAAACCTCTTATACTGCAGACCAGCACCCTGAAACACACGGTCACACACATATGTCCAGGTGACACTGCTCAGGTATTAAAACATTCTAACAAAACAACAAGAGTTTTACCTCATCAAGCTCCTCAATCATCTTACTCCTGACGTCACTGTCCTCTCTGCTCTGACACATCTCTGCTGTGACCACACCTAATGAAAACATGACGACAACAGTTGTATTCTGTATATCTGAGTGTTGGCAGGTGTTTCCAAGTGTGCAAATCAGGCTTGCCTTTGCATCCGCAACACTGGATAAAGAAGCTGATGAGGTCGAGGAGAGAAGAGTCTCTGTCTGTCAAATACGCCTCAATCCAGTCATCAATCACTGCCTACATTAACAAGAAGGATGGTTTAGTTTTTAAGTTCGTTTTTCCATGTGTAATCTGCACCAAAAGGGCACAAAACAATACATCAGTCTTACATTTTAGATGGAGCAGTGGTGGATCTAGGATTTTTTTGAGTAAGGGGCCATCAAGGGGCCACAATCTTCATAGAGGGGCCAAGTGTTTGTTCAACATCCATGCACAGAAAT